AGCGATTAGGGCGCGAAGCGAGTGGAAAATTTGAAATTAAAAACGTGCAACCACGCAAAAGGAGAGCATCTTTTGGACGATTTTACTCGTTCATGAGGCCTCTTTCGCAGAGATTTACGCGTTGCGTTGACGGCTTTGTAGTTGGACGCGACGTCCCACATATCTCAGTCCAAACGCACGACGCAAACGAGAATTGTCCTTTCCTTAGATCTCGAATTTATCGCGGTGACCATTACGTTGTGTAAATCACCCAAGACAAGAGTCCTTGGTAGAAATTAGTCGTCGAGAATCTAAAACTCTCGTTGTGAAGTGAAATCGAGTCGGGCCAACCATCGATAGCGCTTCGTACATCATACCTGACACACGATGACACCGATTCCAGTAGCCATTCTTATATAAAGCGATCTATAATTCCGCGAAATTGATTCATCGTAATAGTTACGAATCAATTACCGAAAGTCGGGTGTGAACCAGTCACCGAGAATTCTATCTCTGATTCAGAGGTGGGTTAAGAAGTTAAAATAAACCAAGGGCTTTTTATTAACGTTCAAAATGGAAATCGAATGGAATCAACTCGCGAGGTACGGAGGGTGGCAGCTTTTCGTGGTACTCGTACTTTTTCGTTCCTTTTCTCATTCTGTACCACGGTACCGACGCGAACGCACATTTTGCTGCATTTCCATGGCAGAATTAGCAGGAGACAGATAAATAGTGGACGAGAAGCAGGAACATTGAGTGGGCGTGGACCCTGCAGGAAGTAATGGATCAAACTCACGGGCAACGGTCCTCTGCGCAAACTTACGAATTTGTTACCACGTGAGGGAAGCATGTGGATTCTGTAACAATTACTCCCCTTCACATTGGTAACAATATCTGAATTAAGTGGAAACAATTACCCATTATTACACAGCGTGTAATAACCGCGAGGTTGAAAGACACAAGGTAATCTTAGCCTTTCGCGTTGGCATCAGATTATTTGCGTCGTTGTACGTTGTCACAGATTTTACGACATGTTTTATTGATTGTTTACCCGTGGCTTAATGAGAAATTTCTAGACAATGAGAGACAATTAAAGCTTCACAGCGTTGGTTAGAATACCGTATGATTATGACTCTAAAAGAGTGATTGCATATTTACAAACGATCCGCGTGATACTATTTCAGTACCGATACTACATTCGTCTCTCTGCTGTACAATCGAGATATCTTCATTAATCGCATGATTTAAGGAAATATAAATACGCAGCAGCTACCGTACGGTGTCTTAAATAATAGTCTTTCAACTGAAATAACGCGATTGTTTGTCGTTAACGAATTAAAACATCTTCCGAGCTTTTGACCCTCTGTTTTCTCTCGATATCACTTTATTAACCAAGTAATTTGACAAAGCAAACACAAGTGTGCAGCACCTGTATAATTTGTTCAGTTACACCGTATAATCTTGCAAAACAGCGCCTGTCATTAAATTCAATACCGCAAACCCCATTTTATATCTCCTTTCCTCATACTTTATGATCTGTTTAGAGATGGATACGTTTAACTTTATTACGAATATTAATCCCCTTTCTTTGTCTTAGAAATTCTCGTAGGAATTCCAATTAGTCAATAACATCTCCGCAATACGAGCTTCGCAAATTAATTAATACTTCGGGTTTAAACCTTGCTTACCGTAACACATTTCTGGTTCAGGGGAAGTAGAACAAACCATATCGGCATCGTCGAACTCGATTTCCTCTGTCATGGACACGGAGGAATCTGGCGCTACCAATTTCCGCCCGTCCGAATCATTTGCTGTTCAAATTAATTTCATTCCTTAATTTCCCTCTTTAACTTTTCAACGATAAGCAAGAGAATTTACGTGCACTTACATTCGTGACCATGCAGATACGTTTCGGCTTGAATGGGTACGCGAGTGTCCTCTTCGACAGCCTTCTTGCTCGGCGCTAGTAGACTCTCGATGCTGAAGGAACATACCTTCGGATTTCCGACCAATTCGATCGACTCTTTGCTGCTTTCCGACGTTTTCACGCGTTCTTCCGACATCCTGATTTCTCAAATATTCCTCACTGTCATCTAGATCTTATCACCGTTCGGTGTTCCGATCACCGAGTGATCCTCCTCGATATTTTGATCTACGTCCAGTGCTTCTCTGAGTGTCTTTTAAAACTCACTGCACATGTCGCCACAACGCTTATCACTGTCGCATCACAAGCACTACCTGTCTGGACGATCGTTGGCAAGTTTAATTTACAAGCGACCAACGAAACATTTTCAGTTTCGTCGAATGGAAGATAGGACGAGGTGACTGACGAGGTCCTGAGTAACGGGATCGATTCAGACCATTCATAGATACCCTGTGATCCGTTCGCGGGATTAGAGTCGAAACCAGCGACTGATTGTCGGGGTTGCTCGCGATGTCCAACAATATTTTTTTTGGCAGCCAAGTCAAATTCTTCGTTCCTCGAGGCGGTGTCGAAAAGCCACGTGCTCATGACGTCACTGTGTGTTCGACCAATCCGAAGTAAGATTGGGCGGTTCTTGGCAAGCACGTGCGTTTCTGGAAGGAGCCCTAATGATCTCGTACAGCGCGACGGTAGCAGTCACTAAACGGTGGTAATGAGGTATCCATAAATTTCTGTCACCGCCATGAAACGCTATTTAATAATTGTCTTGACAGTAGGCGAACCTAGTTTGATATCAATTTCCGATCTGTTGCGTCCATATCGTATGCGATTCTAGGAATACCTCGACTTTATGGAGCCTCGTTTCATTTTAGTTTGAAAAATATGCAGGCCTGTAATTTCTTTTTAATATTCTAATCGTAGATCAATGTTACGATGCAAACGTAACGATAATGTATTGGGAAAAGTGTGGAAGGAATGCAAATAAGAAATGCAACGTACCGAGTACCCGCGATCAGCCAATTGCTATGAATTTGTGCATACTGAGGGGGATGGGAAATCGAACGAGTCGAAGGAATCGAAGGAACATGTTTCATCGGAATTCCCATGAATTCCTGTAAAATTCTGCTATGCGAGAAATTTATCATTGCGGGGGCAGTGTACAATCGGTCTTATATCTCATGAGATTATCGGATGCACAATTGCATATATTAACAGGACGATGATAGGGATGATAGAATGATACAAGAACTGTTGACAGACGTGAAACTTGGCTACGATCATTCGTACCAGCGAAGTACATTGCAGAAATTTGTTTGAAACTTCTGCTCGCCAAGTTGTGATTCTTCCGAATAAATTAGGACCAGAAATATTGGCATGGGATAAATTCTGATTTAAATATATTTATATCACGCTTCGCTTCTATTAATCTTCCTACTTGCGATATTTAAAAACGAGGAAGAAAATAAAACAATTAAAAGTTCGACATTTTTCAACGTGACGAACGCATTTCGATGTAGCATAGTAAGACAGCAAGCTGTTGAAAGGACCAGGAGGTGTGTCTCTAAGATCGCGTTACCCAGACGACACTCCTCTCTCAGGTTCTGCGATATGTTATATTGCCAGAAAGCTGAAACCTTTCAAGGAACAAGCCAGCCAAAATGTTTGTTAATTTTACGCTTAATTGGTGCCACAATCGACAGTACCAAGGTAGGAAGGGTGTAAATTATTGCTTCTTCCGAACCTGTCAACCGCAAAACAAGACGGTTCAGACACTTCTCTGGCATTTGTTTCCCCTCGCCTTGAACATATTTTTGGAATCACGTTTCGTCAGACGAAAAATCGCACGTCATGATTCCATGTTCTCACCGTTGTAATAAACTGTCGTGTATCGTCTTACCAACTAGTTGGCGCCATTAAACGTCTGCTTTGTGGAACCACAAAACAATGATCTCGCGATGTCTCTGGCATCAGGGTGTAACAGAATGAAAATTCACGTGCGAATTTTTTGTACTTTTTTTCTTTTTTATTTATATTTTAACAGAATAAAAGCTTTCTAATCGGTACATTTCATTTTTCATCGTAAAATAAAACATAACGAGGTTACTATCCATAATACAATTCTTGTTACACGAAAATATATCGTAACTTTGATTAATATGATATAACAAAATAATTTTTATTCCAAGAAAATCTCAAAACATATATACTAACTTAAAAACCCTCAATATGTTTGACACACATAATACGAATACAGGGATGCATATTCGAAATTCCTTTCGAGATATAAGCTTATCTTTCGCATCGCAGTTGATTAATTGCGTTTGGTCCTTATATCGTTTTTTAACTTATTAAAATCGATTATTGATTTAACATTTCGTAAGGTGATATTAAATCGTGTAAAATCGGATGCGTTTCTAGCGAATATACAACACAAATAAACCTTTTTCCACAAATAAAATATTTCATAAATTCAGGCAAAGCGTGACATCGTAATTATGATCGTAATTGATGACACCCAATTGCAGTGCAATACAACGAAATTATATAAAAGTTTAACAAAATATATTTAAATTGAAGATGTAATTTCTGTTATATATCTAAAATTCTGATTAGTGAAACAGTAAAGCTCGTTAGAACTTTATTGATTTGTAATAATCTACATTTGTTGCGTGGAATTCCCGTTCCATGTATTATTTTCATCATTATCATCCCCACTTGAATGCAGTCTATGTATATTTCCTTCAGTTTTGATAGTTGCACTTCCTTGACTACCTAAATATCTTCTAACCAAACTAAATATCACAAATAATATTTAATGTCCATATTAGTGTGAAATTTGAGTAATTTGAATATGTAACCTACCCTGATGTACTGGCAATATTTTGAACATTTGATGTAACTGTTTCCCCTGCATTCTTTCCTGCATCTTTATTTTCAGCAGAATTGCTTGATTCTTTCTTTGTACTTTTACGTGAATCTCCGGTGAAAAATCTTAACAGGTAATAGTACACAGCTGTGAAAATTGCAAAAGTGGACCAAACAAACTGCGGTAGTATATGAACATCGCTTGCAGATGACACATTTGTTGTAACATTCGACTGAAATCATAAATCGAAACAATGAAGAATCTTTCGAGAACGATCAAAGTGTAAATATTTTTTCGAAATATAAATTGAAATTACGTTTTTCAATGGCAGAATTAAAATAACTGCTGTAGGAACTAATTCCAATTCTAAAAGAGTTTTATCGTCATCTTCATTTGTTAATTCTCGTCTAGGGAAATGACGGAATGGTAAATTAATGTTCTTTACGACGTAAGTACGTAAATCACGTAAAGTATTTGTTGGTTCAAACTGTGCGATGTAAGGATTACCAGATGGCAATCGGAATTGTATTCTACTGATAGTTGCCATGGAAATCGGTGGTTCAGATGGTTCTGAATCATTTTGTGGTTGTACATGCTGCTATATTTAATAAGATTATATTTTGTCAATATATATATATATATATGTATATAAAAAGAATAAATCTATTTATCTTTTTAAGATAAAAAGAGCACACAAACCTGCTGTATAGCTACTTTCTGTTTTCTTTCTAATTTGTCCTGAGCAATTTGTTGCAATACTTTTTCCCTGGCTACTGCATCGGCTGCTTTTTCTTTCATTTTCTCTTCATAAGCTTGTTTTATTTCAAAATCTTGCTGTTTCTGTCGTAATTTTTGTACGCCGCGACCAACTTTACGACGTTCTATTTCTCTTTCTTTTTCTTTTCTTGCTTCTTCTTCTATACGTTGTTTATTTTGCAATTCTATTAACCGTTGAGCTCTTGCAATTTTTTCCTAAAGATATATAATATTTTGGTATCTTTCCTTTAACATTATTTACATAAAGTTATTTAAGCATAAACATACCTCTGTTGTTAATTCTTTGGCAGGTATCACCTTTGTTTCATTAACTGGTTCTGATGGTTCATTGACTTTTAAACTTGTGGATGCTTCTTCTTTAACATCATTTTTAATTATATTGTTACTCTCACTTTCCGATGTTATTGGGGCTTCTACATTTGATTTTATTACATTATCATTCTTTTTATCTACATCAATCATTACATTAGAATTAATAGCATTGTCAGCAGATGTAGCTTTCTGTTCTGCATTTATCAAATTAACGGATGCATTTTTATTCTTTCCTACTTTTGATAACACTAAATCAATCTTAGTAACTAAATCAGTTGCTGATGTGTAACCAGCAATAATTTCCAAAGGTGTACCATTTTCACCAATAAAAAATAAAGATGGAACAGGCACCAATTGATCTGATTAAAAATCTGTAGGAAAATATGTAATTTTATTAGAATTTATGTGGTATATCTACTTTTTTAGCGAATTACACAAAGATTATTAAAAATATTATGTCAAAGGATACAAATCTGAGCAAAAAATCTGTATGTATCGGAACCACTTTCCAATCGAATTGCTACAAAATCTTCTTGTTCCAAACGACAAGAAACTTCTGTAGTATTGATTGCTTCGGCAATTTGTGCAGATGTGTCATCTTTTCCTGTAAATAGATGACAAAACTATTTGTCTTAAACCATTAATGAAATATGTGAAATATAATTTTCAAAATATATGAAAACAAGGGGAAGCTTATAAGTATATTTAGAATGAAAAGCAGAAGTTGGTGTTAATGAAAAATAAGCAATAACACATTGAGTATCACCTTAACCTAACATTACAGATATATACCTTCGACAAACACGACGAAAATCGCTTTCCTAGATTTTGATGTTGCCACAGCTTCATTGATGCTACCTTCAAACCACTTCATTTTCTTTGTTAAATTATAGGTATTTATGTTCTATTGTGCTATCAATTGATAATGACGTAATGAAAAAGTGGTTTATTCACTAGAAATTTTCCTTAGAACTTGACGTTTCAAAATCTACGTAAGGTTTGGGTAGGTTACTATTGGATTGTATTAATGAATCAATCCATTGTATCAAAAATGATTTTCGTTTTATTTTTACTGTAATTTAATTAAATACATAATAATGTAAATAATGCAAACATCTTTAATTATAATTGTATATGAATTTGCAAAAATGAGCTTTATGTGATACAAGCCAAAGTCACATCATAGTGACGTATAATAGTTACCAGCCAATTGCGGATTAGTTTCGTTGTTAAATCGATGAAAATTCTGTTGGTTGAAAGACAACCTTTAAGTTTCAAGGCTAAATAAGAACCAGTGGATATGGACCATTTTAGAGTGATCAGTGTGTAAATAAGGATGCGAGTTAGTAAGTGAAAAAGTTATAAAATTTATATATGAACCATTTATTGCCTATGTCTCGAGAACAATATAACTAAATAATGGCCCATTTTGTAAGGAAAGGTAAGTGTTGATGCCATTCTTTTCTTATCATGGTTAAAATGTATTCTTCCAAATATCGAAAATGGAAGCGGTACATAGTATTATTTTGTTGGCTATACTGTTTGTATCGCCATGTTTCTCACTTTCCGTTGGATTGCCAGAAGGAATAGTGGAATAAAATGTGGTAATGGCGAGTGCGTCTGTTCCGCATATTTGATGTTGTGATAAAGTTGGGCGTACGCGTCCGCCTTATCAGTCGTGACAAAGTTTTTTTTTCTTTCGAGTATGTCGACTTAATTTTGATACATACACGTAGTTTTTAAAGAAATATAACCGACAATAAAAAGAATAAAGTGTCCAGTGTACGATGTCGGTGATTCATTATCGGAATATGGAAGTACACGACAGATAATAGAAGATAATCGTATTATAGAAAGAGAATTTACTACTTTATATATTTCACAACACGTGCACTTCTTTCGCCATATTCACTTTCTAATACGTGAAAAAGAATTTTAAGCGTGCTATTATATTAGAAGTAATCGATACGCGACCGTAAACGTATAACAAGATAATATGAAATCGGAACGAGCATGAAGGTAACTGTGTGTTTCGACAACGTCAGAGTGGTGGTTCCTTGTGGGGATGGAACCCTACTGGTTAAAGATTTAATGCATGAGGCTACTTTAAGGTATAAAAAGGCAACTGGGAAAAATGATAGTGCATTAACCATAAATAGCTTGTCGTCTTTAACTGGAGGTGGTCTCCTGGATCCAGATGATAGGTTATGTGATGTAGCTGATGACAGAGAGCAAATTGTTGCTCATTTTGTCAGTGCCGATGTTACACATGCTGGTGGTGATGGGGCAAGTTCAGTTGGAACAAATAGTCCTGATTTTTTTCATTCAGATGGTAAAGAACCATCTTACACAATTGATACACATTCCTCTATTCCTGTCAGTGGTATTAAAAGAGAAAGCACCAAAAGATTGTCAATGCATGCACTGTCAACCAGAGAACCTTGTTTAACCACATATTCTGCTCAGTCCCTTCCCAGGGAGTCTCGACGTAGAGAACCACTGGGACAAGATGCCAAAGTGTCATTTGAGTATGCAAATGCTAATATAGAGCCAGGAGATCAAGGAGAAATTCGAGAAATTGTGATAAAGAATGAAGCAGGACCACTGGGGCTTCATGTGGTGCCATGTTATGACTTGTTGGGTAACGACCAGGGGCTCAGAGTTGAAGGTATTGAACCTAATGGTAGAATTGCTAGAGATGGACAGATCGATCTGCACGATAAGATTATTAAAATAAATGGCCACAATTTACTGCATATACCATTCTCTAAAGTGCAAGAGATTTTTCGTACCTGTATGACAGAACCGTGTTTACAAATTTCTGTGGTAAAGCATAAGAAACCACACGAGAAATCAATGCATAAAAATCATGGCAATACTAGTGGAGGATCAGAAAAAGAAATCGACGATAACGTTAAAAGACTTCAATGTAGCAATTATAATTTGTTACAGACTGCAAATACCCGTAAGATTGGACGTATGATAGAAATAGAATTAACAAAAGGAAGCAATGGCCTTGGATTCAGTGTTACAACACGTGATAATCCTGCAGGAGGTCATTGTCCAATATATATTAAAAATATATTACCAAAAGGTGCTGCAGTTGAAGATGGTCGATTGAGGCCTGGAGACAGGTTATTGGAAGTGAATAATAAAGAAATGACCGGTAAAAGTCAAGCCGAAGTGGTTTCACTTCTCAGAAGTATCCCACCTGGTGGGAAAGTAAGAATGGTGGTGTCACGTCAGGAAGAAATTTCCTCCAGTATTCCAGATTCTCATTCTCATGTTACTTCTACAAGTCAAGCCTCAGAAGTTACAGATAATTCGAAATATTGGAATACAGTGAATACATCACCGATAAAAAAGAACACCGAAGTCCAAGATAAAATTAATACCCATAATTATGATAAGTGTACTTTTAAACCAGTGAAATCTACATCAGAAGATATTGTTTTATCACCACGTAAAAATCGTATGATATTAACTTTAGATATACCGGTACATGATTCAGAGAAAGCTGGATTAGGTGTTAGTGTTAAAGGAAAGACTACCAACACTGATGAAAACACTAACATGGATTTAGGAATTTTTATTAAAAGTGTCCTTCATGGAGGTGCAGCCTCTAGGGATGGAAGGTTGAGGACCAATGATCAATTGCTCAATGTTAATGGAGTATCATTATTAGGACTGTCAAACTCAGATGCAATGGAAACACTGAGAAGAGCGATGCTCAATACAAACAGCTCTGTAACTGGGGTGATTACACTTACAATAGCCAGGAGAATATCATCCTACGATGGAAGCGACAAAAATTTGCCAGAAAGCTTGTCCTCTCACTGTAAACTCGAATCAGCGAACAGTATATACATATCCGATTCCACGAAAAACAGTGAGGGTCGGGTGAAGGAGAAGAACAATTTGAATTCCCAGTCAGACATTTTAGACAATGGTGGATTATTGTCTTGCGTGACGGCATCTCCGTGGAATCCAGTTATCGATAGATTAACCGAACAGTATAATAAGAATAGTTTAAGAAACGAAAGTTACTGCATCGCTACCAATAAAACGTGGATAGAACCTGTGAGTAACGTGAAGAAGATTACGATAGGACAGCGCGAGGATCGCGCGGAACCAGTATTGCTAGAAGACTCCAATGAACCGCAGTGCAATGAAGCTAAACGAAACACAGACGATAAAGATAGTCAGTATTCAGGAGACCCAACGTACGATAGTCAGTTATCCTTGGAGGAGTTTAACTCTTCTTCCAATAAGTTTTCCCGCGACGCTTTAGGTAGGCAGAGCATGTCGGAGAAGCGACATGCAGCTTTAGACGCCAAGAACACCGATACTTATAAGAGAAATAAAAAATTACGAGAGGGGCGCGAGAATAAGAACCAAGAACAAGCGAATCAAAAGCTTTCGAATCAGTCGATCGATTCGGAAGATCAAACTAGACGGATCTGTAAGACGGATAATTACGATAAGAATAAAAATAAAGGTACTACCGAGGGCAGTACGGCAAGCGAGAGTAGTATGAAACGATACGAAAAATCTGTGGATCCTGCTCACTCGGAATACGTATACACTATACCTGGATGTAATAATAAGTACACTTCACCGAGGAAACACTGGCTCGTTGACGATGTACATGGCGAGATAACGAGTAGCAATAATTTTAAGGACGATCGCGACGGTTTTACAAATAGTCGGGGGGACGTGAAACAAGCATCTCTCAATTCAGCTTTAGATGATCGATACAAACGTTCGCGAAAGAAAGGGGGCATACGTTCGATGCTTCGATTAGGCAAGAATAGGAAATCGCTCAATTTCGGTGATAGTATAGAAGCTCGTCACGAACCCAGTAATTATTGCAGCGGAACGATCAATTATATCGCATAATATACGAAAGGGAATTTATAACGTAGATACGGAATTCAAAATATACATAAACGTACTTGTGCATAACACCTAGAAACACATATTATACACGGAATATACACATTTTAACACACATCGCACGTGCGCGCGTACACGTACACACGTATATAGTTTATACTTAAATATGTATGATTTGTTCCAAAGTGCCTTATATCATTGCAAAACAAATTTATTCTGTATATATAATTTTTGTATTTGTCTTCAATTCGTACCGATCATGTATCTATTTTTAAAATAAAACTATGCACGTAATATAAGCAGTGTGTAAGTTGAATAACCGCTAATTTCGAAACGGGAAGTATTATCGATAAAATATCCGGCTACGATTTCGATAACGTTAAAGAATCATCGTGAATTCCAACCTCGTAACTAAAAGAAGCAACGTTCGATACAAACAGTGTATTACCAAGCTCGGCAGAATTACAGTAGGTACATTAATTAAACGGATAGCAGAGGAATATAGCTTCGTTACAAGCACAATACGTTTCGTCTGTTCTAGCACTTCAGTTGATCCCGAATCAATTACTGCACCAACAGAAGCGTTATAGAGGGAAGATAAATATTAGAAAACCGAAAATATATTACAAAAAGGCGGTGTTAAATAAACTTTTAACACCGTTTTTCGCTAATCCCAACGAGGGAAAGACTTGGGAGCAATGGTGTGCAGAATCAAGATCTACTACGGACAATTTCCAGCTTGGAACTTATGAAAAAATCATAGCGAAAGATGTACGTAATTGGCTTGATAAATCTAAAATGGTCGTGTGCTTGCACGTGAACAGTATCAAACAGTTGGATATGTTTGATACCGAAGTTGCATTATTCAAACAAAATATGTATTATAAACGTTATGGGAGTCAAATCGTGCAACATGCCATTAAGGATTCCCCCTTCGAAGGTCTTGCTCCTTTAGTTAGCAATTATACTGCGTTTATATTTAGTGCTGAAATTAAAACAACAGCTTTGGAGAGTATTCTTAAGAAAAACAAGAAACTACTTGTAATAGGTAAGTAATACGGAGAAATGATCGCAGGATGATTTTATTAGCTAATTAACTCTTTTCTTGTAGGTGGAGTGTTGGAAGGGCAAGTGATGAAATTAGATGATTTTAGGAGATACGGAGAAATGGATATTACGACGGCGCAATCATATTTGGTTCAAACATTACAGAATGCAGCAGGCGGGAACCTGAATCGACAACTCACATATCATCAATCGATGCTGCTGACACGACTGAATCAGATCGGTACAATTGAGACAACGTCAGACGATAAGAAATAAACAATCGGTGCCTGTATAATTGCAAAGCTACCTGTATCTATAATTTATTATACGTTCATGTTGCACACGAAGCTTCAAGTAAAGTACAATTTATTCTCCCGTGCTCTTTGTGACGATAAAAAATAAGAACGATCGTTGGAATCTGAGGTCTCTTATTATTTTTATTACTTCCAATTCCATGAAGGACGGTTCCGCGATAAGGTTAATCGTTGAGCAAGCAGCGTATGTGACGAATACGTATGTAACTTATCAGTACCAGTTTTATCGGTTATCAAACTCGTTATTAAATACATATCAAGCCTTTGGACGCTTTGACTAGTGGTTTCTCCCGTTGCACGGGATCGTTGATAACGTTATAAAAATATTTTGGCTCAGGGTGCACTGCATTTCCTTCTATTGTATACACCGTTGGTCGTACGTCGTTGCGGTAATTGTATCTTTTGATGGTTCTCAGTGACAGTAATTGCAACGAGGATGACACTTGACTCCATTTTCTCCGCATCTACAGCCCCCGGTTGTGTCCCCTTTTCCCTGTGAACCCCCCCAAAATACGATCAATAAAGAAATAAAACAATCAAGTCATAACTGCATCTATTAATATCTCGATATCGAACAATCACTATTACGTATCGATTACTCACTCCTGGACCCCAACGTGGGCCTCTTGTTACCCAGCATATCTCGGTTTTGCACATTGAACAGCGTAACCAATCGCAACCCCACTTTTTCATCAATACCACTGCACACGTGGGACACGCGAGTGCTTCACCCCTGTCCACCATTTCCTCCAGCATCTCGGCTGTTCTTCTCGACTCGTGATCCGTTTCTTTCGATAGTCTTAACTCTTGTTGGTATTGCTTGCAGTTTTTACCAGCATGAATGGCCTATAGCATAGATATTTGTTTGAAAAATTGTGTCGAATTCGAATATTCGTGAACGAAATAGCGTTATTAAGCTTCGTTTTATGACCTGACAAGTGAGACAATTGTTTGCACCGCACACAGGACAGAGGAAGTTGTTTACATCGTCGTCGTAGATACACCAACCAGGACAGTCTGGAGTTTTACAGTGGAACGCGTTGTTTCCAGCATTATTCTCCGCTTGAGCGATTGATTTCGCTAGATGTTGCTGATAGACTTCCGGTTCGACGAGCTAGAGGTATCATGTATTATATCTCTTTTCTTTTCTCTCTTACGTTTCGCTAATGAATTTTAATGCTCAACTTACAGCTTTAATTTCACGTTCCTGGAGAGTCGACTCGCAGGTGTATTGCGAGTCTCTGTAAGGACATTTCACTTCGGCTTCTTCGCAGTATCGAATCGTATTAGCAATACATGACCTGAGAAAGATTACTCGTGGATAATTGGTATAACGTGTTACGATATCGTTTGAAATTTTAATCGAAAACCACAGGTGTGTATACCTGCAGAAAATATGTAAGCAGTCCCTCAAAATTACTCCTTCGCGAGGGCCGTATGTAACGAAGCATACGGGACATTCTATCGGTTCGGAGTTTGGTATGACGTCGCAATTTTCCAAAGAAATTAATTCCTCGTACCTGTCCATCTTTACTTCCACTGGTGTGTCTCTCTCCTCTGTCCCCTATTTGCAATATTTTTTTTTTCTATTTATTTTCGTTTTATATTATATAAAAACGTATCAACAGGTCGAACGAAAAGTATTACCTGAGGTTCCTCGACTTCTTCGTGATCTTCTTCCACGATCTGCAATACTTCCGTAGACGTACCTGAATCATCGTTTATCACATTTGGCACTTCCTCCGCACCGCTAGCTTTCTCTACCTGTGCCATATTTTCAGCTCTCAATTCTGCAATCAAATGAACGTTAATTGTCCAGGTGCCAATTTTACGTTTATTATTCGGTTGTTTGTTTCTGTTTACCTGGAGCCACGAGGTATAAAAATATAGGAGAGCCGTTAACGGCCTGTAGTTCGTTCAGACTCGCCTCATCGCGATCTGCCAGATTTTTACCGATGATCCATCGCTGCACGTTCGTCGGGATTTCGAATTCCGTGTGTATCTTTGCTTTCAGCTCCGCCACCGTCATCCTGCTCGGCAGCTGTTATTATATTTTGGCTTAGTATGACATCTAATATCGCGATATGGATTGGCAAACCTTGGCTACCTTGTTTCGAGTAGGTGTCGCTATTTACCTGAAGTGGTATCGGTCCCTGGTGGGCAAGCTTGTCTTCAATGTACATATTGACTTTAATCAACTGATCTTTGAGACGGGCTGATCGTTGTCGAATCACGGAACAATGGATCTTAAGCCGTGCTAGCTCCTTTGCTAAACCGGCCGCTTGTTGATGGTGGCCAGATGCAATTGCCGCTTCTAACTTTCTGAGTAATCGGTTTATGGCCAGCGTATTCATATTTTTACCCGCTGAATTGTCATCTGCGACAGACAGAGAACACGAGCGTTAGAATGGTAAGAGGGAAAAACGCGAGAGAGTAGATAATAAATTTAGACGAATGATTCATAGGGAAAATCCCGCAACTATCTGGGGCAAACGACTTAATTAACGTTACCTTCTTCGCTATCTTCGAACGTGTCATCTTTGACAGTGAGCTTTTGTTCATTTGTCGTAGGTACTTTCGTTATCTCGTCGGCACGATCGGTTTTTGCAACGTTATTTCGCGTGGAATTGGCGCGTTCTTTCGGCGAGGGAGGAACATGTGCGTTCGCGTAGATTGATTGTTCGATCACATTGGCGTAAGTGTTTTCGCTGAACCCGGTTCTCGTCGTTTTTGTTGCCTCGATTTCAGCAAAATCCCGCGGTCGTATCAGCTGGAACGTATTTTTCACCAATCCGGAGCCACCTAGATTTTTTCCGGACGTTTTATAGACGACGTTCTCTTGCTTCCATCCCGAGGTGGATGGCTGGTCCACGGATGTACAGGGCTGATTCAATTTCCGTATATTTCCACTCGTTTGTACCGAACACGACACCTTCTGTTTGTCCAGGTCGTAATCGTTTTTCAGCGCGATATTCTCGACTTTCGTCACCGCGGAAACGAAATACGTAGTCTTGCCAGGGCCAGTCGCAGTCTCTTTCGTTGCAGCTGGTTTCTCCGTCACGTCGGTGTTACGTGTCACAATCTTGCCAGGCTTCGAACGCTTTGGTAACGAGTGTTTCATTTCCTTCAACATCTCCTTTAAATCCGTTGTAATTGGATCCTCGATGGTGTTCAATAACGGCGACTTGGCCTTACCCGATTTCGTTTTCGCATTCGGATCGGCCGGTCGAGAGGTATCCTCGACGGGTATCGATTTTTCCGGCAGTAGCCCGCTCTTTGTCTTAGCGTCTTTCTCCGCCTCCACTAGGATATCGAGCACTTTAGTTACCTTACTTGATATTCCGGCCTCCTCCTCGTGAACTTTACCTCTCTGATTAGTGGCTGTCGCGTTCGTGCGGGCCGCCCTGCGATCGATAAATTTCAACTCTTTCATACGCAACTGCTTGTCGATCTCGTCGAATATATCCGAGAATTCTTTCTGAACGCCGTCGAATCGTTGCTTGTCCAACTTCTTCGGCTCCTCAAAGATATTCGACGCACCGTGCTCCTTTCCATCCGCGCAACTACGAGCGAACAAGTGTCTCCGGTGATCGTCGTTGCTCCCTTTTGTCTCCCTTTCCTTCCTGTCACCGTGTACTTCCGGTTTGAATCGAATTTTTTCCTCCATCGCAGCAGCGGCTCCATCCTTCTGATGAATCTGATCGTTCATTCGATTCGCTGCCAGTTGGCTTTGCAGGAACGATATTCGATTGGAAGTTTCGCTGGCCAACCGATCGTTTTGCTCTTTCGCCAAGCCAACCCTGGCTGCCGAGGCTTTAGCAGCCATTTCCGTATTCTCCGATCGGCTTCTAGATGCCTTTTGCTGCGGCGGAAAGTATCTAGAAATGTCTTTCTCGATGTGACTGGTTTGTCCACTGGCAGACTGAACGGAAAATCTCGGATGATCCTTCCAATCGTTGGCATGCTCGAAAGCTTTCGCGTTCCTCACCACGTCCCGTTCGAATTTCGACGTCTGCTGATCCCTGGCGTTCCTCGCGAAGAAATTCGCGTTCACCGTGACCTTGGTGATGTTGCTGATGGCGTTGAACTTGGAGATCAATGCTCGCGTGCCACGTCTGGGCGACGAGCTCTCCATCGCAGACGTGACGATGTCCTGGACGAGTTCCTCGTTCATCTCGTTCCTCTTTTCGAACGCGTCGACGAATCTGGAAGACTTGAGCAGCATCGAGGCCCTAGCTCGTGCCTGTTCCTCCTGCACGATCGCCGCGGCTTCTTTGTCGAGTTCGCTGATGTTTGTTAGAATCGATAGACCGGATCTTCGTTTCGCTTCCCTCTTTCTGTCCTCCGCTTGGCCTCCGCCACGATGGAAGAAGCTGAGCCGGGACAAAGAGGCGTCCACGGAGTAACTCGTAGAGGAGGCCGTGTTCGTGGCTGCGCATTCTTCTTTTATTTCGATCGAGGAGCTTGTTGGCCCACGGAGGACATCGCCCCTCCTGGACCCTCCGGAATCCCGAGAATGTTCGAAGACGCTCCGTTTGTACCAAGGTCGTGGCATGGCTGTGCTCAGAGTTCCAATGCTAGACGACACAGACGGGTTGTCCTGAAGAATGGCGATGTCCGACGAGCCGGCACTCGTGTCCCTCGCGTTCTTCTCCTTCGTGTTTCGCTTCGGCTCTCTTTTCGGCAATAGAACGCCCCCTTGTAGGACCAGCGTGTCGTTGCTGAGAGTTTGCACGTCTTCGGTGTCTGGTCTGGTTTCTACGTCCATTCCGCCATCGGTAACCTGATCCTCGCGCTTTTTCTCACACGAATTACCCTCGACCACCTTTTCTGGCGGCTTCGGCGCGCGTCGCTTTCGCCTGCTGCTGTTCCTCGGTGTTTCGCGGGCATCTACCTCTGTTGCTTTGATCGCGGTAACGGGAGGATTCGGTGCTCGCCGTTTCCCTTTCACGTGCACCCTTCTACGGGTAGAATTCACGCTGTAATGAGCTTTCCGGTCGTCTAGCCTTTTCAACGACTCTATCAATCGCCGATCGGGAAGCGGCAGATTTCCGCAGGAGTTGAATGTAGTGGATGGTTGCAGCGAGTATCTCGCGGTGATGTCTCTTCTGTGGGAGTGAGCGTTCGTGGGCAACGTGCAGGCAACGTCCGCTAATTCGTTCTCTTTGTTACCAACTGTAACCTTCGAAGCTCCAGCCGCGAACGGGCCAACTTCGGCCGCCTGTTTCAGTATATCTAACGATAATCCATTGCACCTGCCCAGAGTGCCAGCGTGAAAGGCGAAACTGCGAACGGTGGTGGTGCTGTAAAACGTGTCTACGCTCTCCACGCTGGACGAGACGCTTCGTTGTCGTCCATTATCATTCTCCTCGTATTTCTCGATGGTCTTTCGTCGTTTGTCCACCGTCGACTCCCGATTCCCGGACCGTTTGAACCACTTGAACAGGGAGAACCTCGCGTTACCGCGTCCTCCCTCGTGAACGTTACGCGCTTCGTGATCTACGGACGCTTCCGTCGCGACCACGTCCGACGTTCTTCCTTCCCGGTCGCTGATCCGTACGCCATTGGAGAATGTGCTCGGCTCGATGCTGCATGCGGCCCGCTGTACCATTCTTACTCACCGCATATTCCCTCTCGCAGCCAGCTCCGCCCCACTGCTCATCCAGTGCTCTGCATAGTTCTTTATTTAGATTCACTCGAATGTGGTTTTAACTTCCTTCCAGTTCGTCGTCTGTAGGTAAAAGCAAACTCGTGGAACCTTCGAAGAATCTTGCGGTATTTCACACGCATCGGTCGTACACGCTGGCCTTATCACACCACCCGTTCTCGCCACCCCTTCACCCTCTCGCCGCTGTTCCTCGTCTAACCTGTCCTCTCGCTTTCTACGTGTCTATCCGACGTCTCTGGTTCGGTTAGGTGTTTTTAGCTTATCCACCAACGCCAATAAGAGGGAAATTCAGCAGACAACGACGGTTGCCGGGTACGGACGCAAACTTGCGCGGAACATCGTGTTCCGATCGAGTTACGCGTTTCCCCGGCGTGTACGTGCGAGGAATGTATCGCGGAACGGTAAATCGACTGACGAATTTCGCTGCGAAACCGTCGGCGACGCTGCCGAACACGCACGACAAAGATACTCTTCGCTTCGCTATTAATAGTCGGGCCTTCTCCTGCCGTGGGTTATTTTCAAGTCCACTCTCTTGCTGTCTGCGCGCCCGCTGTCCGAAATCAAAACAGAGAAATACGGTCGTACGCGCGCCACTTTCAACCACGAGCAACAGCGTTTAGCTCGTTGACGAATATTCTTACCGTTCGTAGAAACCATTCTTCCCGCGGTGTCTCGCGATCGGCAATCTCGATTTACCTTCGAGGAAAATAGAACGCGAGCCAAACCTAACCCGTGCCGATCTACATGCGAGGCACGAGTGTACTTCGAAGAGGGAACTCGGTTGAATGAACGTTCCTTTACGACCCGCGATTCAGTTTCCCCTCGCCATTTTTCCTTCCGATATAAAATCGATGGGTGCTGAAATAGGGCCGTAGCATAAATCACCGATGACGCGAATGCTTAATAGACCATGGGCCGGATTTATACGCAAACAGCTTAAACCGTCCGATTTACATCGTCGCGGAGATTTGTACCACGGTATATGCAAACGCCGCTCTCGCCCACGGTATTATTTTGGGATTTGACTAATCCCGTGAGAGGGCATGGACCAGCGCGGTGATCATCAGCGTCTCGTTTTTGAGCTAGCCGATACCGGCTCCCAAACGAATAAGTGTCGTTTTCTGTCGTTTGAAAAATATCCAAACTAGCGAACACGTCATGCGATATCCGATGCTCCGCGTTCAACCAAACGCTTTATTGCGCATTTACACTCCCAATCGCCGAGCTACCGAGTGCCTTTTGCATTCGTCATTTCTCCTATCTTCTCTGCCATCCACCCGAAATAACGGAACGTCCGGTTTCCCGCGATATTTTCTATTACAACGTACAAAAATAAACGATACATCGGACTAGATCTTGGCCTGTCAAACGATACAACCGAAAATAGACCTCTCCGGTGCTGGTCATTCGCGCAATTGTACTCTCCGTTGATAACCTCCCGCTGTAAGATCATCGTAACGATCTTCCGTTTCCTCGCTGCATCGCTCGCCTTTGTAAGAGCGCGATTAATCCAGCGGGCAAGGGATCTCGCGAAGGCTGAAAGCCGCTCGTCTCTGTGTATTCGGTATTAACGAAATTTTTCGGTGATAACGCGGTTTTCAGGCCCCGTTTGGAAATTAACCGAGCGAGCATTTTTAATTACATTTACTCGGGAGGAAGAAAGGCATCAACGAGAGCCAACCGGCGGCCTTTAGCCCCGCGAACCGACCTAAGTACGTTTGCTCAAGAGTTTGCACCGCGGCAGGTATCTCGAAAGCCAAAGCGGTTTCTCTGCAAACATAACGCGCGCCGGTCCCGTGTGCACACGCACTCCGCGTGCATTTACGCTCGCTCACACAAACGGCGATGAAGCACAATACCGGGGTGGTTGTGGGGTGCACAGTGGGAAAGATTCATCCGTGAAAAAAGGGACGACAGGCGCTGCTCCGCGTGAAAAACGCCACCGTGTTTCTATATTTTATTTAATTACTCGACAACATTCAAAGTCGTTCCCCCGGTGGACCGTGCTGCCGCTTCCCGTTAAGAGGTTTCATTTAAACGAGCCACAAGATGCGTCATTTTTCTCTTGCTCTCGCGATCCTTTGAAAGAGCGCGAGTCGGCGTCAAACAACCCCGTGTACACGGGCACCGGCCATTATTCCCGTCTGTCCGCGCTCGCATCTTCACGGCGCGTTTAAATTGACCTATACAGAGCGTCCTCTTATCTTATCCTCTCCACGCGATCATCCCTTAACCGGACCGTCTATCGTTCATCGTAATCGACATCGATAATACGTGGGTTGCCGATGGAACATCGAGCGTGTTATAGTTGCGCGTTTCTGATACGGCTTCTCTCGGGCAGCCGCCAACACTGCCGAACTATCGCGTCCTCGTGGAAATTATCATTCCTTCTCGATTTCGTTCGATTATTGCGAGCAATGAGACGGCGAAGAGCGAACGACGTCGCCAAATAAAGTCTCCGAAAAGGCATCCTCGAGTGCTCCGCGCGATGGAGCCTAGACACGCTCACAGCCCGCTCCGCGTGTACGTTCACGAACGAACGACGCCGCGACGCCGGCGTGTGCGCGGTCTTAGCTCACTTTTATTGTCGGAAGCCGAACTGGAGCGCAAGAGTCTACTACTACCCTCGTGTACCCTCTTCTCGCTCCCCGCTCCCCCTTTCTCTCTCTTTCTTCCTCTTATTCAGGAGTTTATTTCGCGAATCCACCCACCGCCTCTCCGGCTTGGCTCGAACCCTGCTTCCATGCTACGTAGCAACGCCATATCGCGTCCTGAATACAAATCGCGATGTTTCCTTTCGCGAGTTTCCCGAAGACTTTCAGGACGCGATCATTACCATTAATGAAGAAGTCAACGGTGCATCGGGCTCTTCTCGCTGTCCCTCTTACCATTTCGTTCGAGCATCGAGACTCCGAGGAAGCTCTCGCGGTTGTAACCCACGCTCTTTCCACGCTTTCTTTCTCCCTGCTTCTAACGGCCCTCTTCTTCTCGCATAATTCACCGCGCAGTGGCAGGGCGCGGGCCGTGGAGGAAGTTCCGCGACCGATCGTAATGCATGATTATTCCCTCCGGTATCGAGGCACCGGTTATACCCGCGATTTACAATTTTTATGCCAGCTCCCCGGCAGAGCGCTACAAGTCGCGGCCAGCCGACCGGCGTGTCGTTGAACTTTCGAAAGGTCGCTGCTGCGGCGCCGTGCCATTGCTTAAAATTTAGTTACCCGTTGGATCCGGCCGATGTTTTATTCAGCTACGTGCGCAGGGCCGACGTCGTGCTTACCCGGGAACAGGGATACAAATTAATCGGGGATCCGGGACAATTTTTGCTCCCGCACCCTCTGCCCCCTGTGCTCTCTCGCCCTTTACCAGCCGGTGGCGAAAAGTTTCCCGGCGTGTAAAACGGGATGTCGATCGCGGCGGCGAGGTACCTTCGTTCGGCCCACGCTCCTTTTCGCTCTCGAATCAAAATTAAAGAGGACCCCGGACCGAGACCATCCACCGTTCGTCCGCCTAGTCGACCGTGAAAAGTTGCTCGCGGGGCTTAGCTATCGCTGTTTGTTCTCGTTACATTTTTCCTTCGACTTTTCACCCGACCGTTTTAGTTTTACCTCGGATTTCGTGCATATCTCGCGAAATTTTACTCCCCGACGGCCGCGTTAGAGTACAGGGTGTTAGTTTAACGGGAAGTTCTTTCTTCGCGCGATATGCAAACGAAAGCAGCCGTCGATGATTCTGAATTCTCAAACTGTTTGATAAGAGATCGCGGGGCGTTCGATATGGAAATTCGATCACATTCGCGTCTATGGCGCCTACTCCGCAACGTATTGCGAGACTTACACGTCCGGACCATCTTTTTCTACTTTTATTCTATACCGTAACGTATTCGCGAGACATAAATTCGCGTATATGCCCGTCGATTAGGGATTCTCTTGAGAAAATCGAGAATTTTTCACAGACGCTTCTCCTGCATTGACGAATGAAAATTTATTCCGAGTTTGTTTACTTCCATCTTGGTTTGTTTACGTTCTGGACTGACGTATTTATTTATTCCCAGGTGAAGAAGAGGAATATTGCCATTGAAGAATAACAGCAACATTGGTATCGACGAAGATACTATTCGAACGGTAGTAACTGACCTTTGACGACATTGAAAAACATCGAGAGCCAACGAATTCGTCTAGAAATGGACTGCAGATGGACCACGTCAGAAAAACAAAGGGTAAGTTTTCTTGAAAATTTTTTCGAGCAAACTATACGTATTAGGGAATAATTATTCACCGTGAAACTTTAATCGAGTATAATGGCACTGTGTAATTCTTATTTTACGCAAATCGTTTAATCTAATCGATCGTTGAACCCTCCTCCTCCTAAATATCTCCGTTATAGGTTAAACGTATACTTCATCGTTGCAATTGTCACGTTTCTAAAACTCGCAGGATCGTGCTTAGAGTTCGATAGATCTTCCGTAACGACGTTATTACTAGGTTATAACGGTATTTCCTGAGGTAGCTCGGATGAAGGGAAAGGGGAACCTAGGAGACTTGTACTTCGCACGATCTGTTCGTCTTAGCTCGGGAAACAGAAGGACTTGCGATACGTGAGGGAAAGTACTTCTTAGACGGACTTCGACTTGTGTGTCGGCCCTCGAACCCTTTGGCTATCTCCTTAGTTACACCGTTGTTCCGTACGTGAGCAAGATAGTTAGATTGTCTTCTCGAAGTTATCCACTGTTCGCGAAATTAGACCCCCGGCTTCTCTCTTCACCATGTCCATACGTACCGCAAGCTGCGAGCGTGTTTCTGCAATATCCGCAGTTGCTCGCTGATGAATACACGCTGGCTGGCGTGTTAGCGAGCCCGGCCTGACGAGGATTCACGAAATAATCGCTGATACGCGCGTGCCAAATTACATTGCCGCGTAAATTTGTTTCGCGACGCTGCGAAATAAATTATGAATCGCGCGCCGCGGTCCGCCTCTTTATTCCGACGCGAAATTCGATTTCTCTGTCGTTTTAACGTTGTCACATTCGGCCGGCAACCAATTACCGTTTCGATAATCATCAAATTAAAAGCGGGCTTAGCCGACCGGTAGATCGATAGACGAATTCTCATCGTGGTAATCTTCGCTGCGTAAATTCCAATTCCTCGTCCACGCACCGCGTTCCACATTCACCGTTCCTCTCGATTAATAATCTTCGCTTGGCATCGACGTCGGAATCTTTTTCCAGCGTTTCCCTTCGAGATAACCTTATCGGCGCGTTATCATCCTCGTCCGATGTTCCAAATGTTTCTTCGGCCGCGATATCGGCGGCTTCGATCAGCTATGAAATTGATTCGCGGTATATCTTCCGCTTCAATCTCGCGGCGTGCATTGAATGCGTTTCACGCCCCAAACTGACGTATCACCGATAGTCTTTCGAACGTATTAACCG